AAGCCCGCATACGTCGACTACGACCTCGTAAACCAGGGCCGCAACGACGACGAATGCTACCAGAACGCCAAGTTGGCCATCAGTATTGCGCGAAAGATGGGCGCCACCATCTGGCTCGTACCCGACGACATTGTTGCCGTACAGAGCAGACTTATCACTACCTTCATTGGTAGCTTGATGAGCACGCATGAGAAGACGGGTGGACAATAAGTCGTTGGGGTCTTTTCCGATTGTGTCTTTTGGAATGAGTAGATGATGTAACGCCCTATGGGTGAAGCGTGCGAGCATTTGAAAATAGTTTATCACTGATCGAATCTACAACATTATCGTTGCTGTCTTCATTCAGTGTGAGTGCGGTGTTGACCAGTGGACGGGCGCGCCTTCCTCGTATGTGCTCTCACAACAACAGCGCAACTGCCAACATCACTGTATAGGATAAACCTCGATTTGGATTTAGTATCTCTAGCGGTGCTATACTGAGTTCGAACGTCTCTCATGTGAAAGATGGTGCAAAAAATCCGAATAGACGAACGAAAAGAAACCACTGGTGAAGTGAAACATTGCCGACGTTGCGCAATCCTAAGCGTACCTAGATATCACTCTTCACTTGAACGCGCGACTGGTGCACTAGCGCCTTGGCTAAGCAAACGCGACTGAGAAGGTCAACACCGCACTGAAATTTTGCTCTCACCTCCAACAACTCACAACACCATGGAAGACACCAACATGGCAACCTCTTCGCTGCATCAGCAGCATCAACAATTCGGCCAAGGCCTTGGTAACAACGGCGATGGCCCGCCTGGCGACAGGCAAGATGACAAGTCCCAACGTGGGCACTACGCGGATGTCATCCGCCCGCCTGATTTCATGGCAGTCATGAAAGACGCCGGCGTGAAGCACTTTCATACCCGGTGCATGATGTGCGGTGAGACGGCAACGTCACACCACCGCAAGACCTGGCGCGAATGCCGAGGGCGTTGTCCACTCAACCCCAATCATACTCACACTCAGCAGATCTGCCCCGACCTGCTGAAGGTTGCCAACGAGGATTGGTGTATAGCGCATCTGGAAGAGAGCATGAAAGCTGAGCGTGATACCGCTCGTGGGCCAGAGACGCTGCAGCGACAAGAGCAGCGACGAGAGTCGCAATGCGAGCACCGACATGAGGCGCCAGGCGTTTCTAGCCTAGACAGGCAGGCTCCCGCGGCTCCTCCGAAATTCTCCAATGCGGCTCCTCCGCAAGGTAACTGGCAGACTAATAGGTCGCCAACGCCATATCTCGACGACAGAAGGTCGAGTTCCGGTGAGCGCTACGGCGCTATGTATAGTCCTGTACCTGAGACAGGACATGATCATCATGGTGGTTATACTGACCATAGGTATCCTTCCGATGGAGATAGATACCCAAAACTCACTGGCCGAGGCCGCAGTCGGGACGTACGTGAGCGGAGTCCGCCACTGCCTGAAGAGAGTGTCGACCATGGCACTCAAGCGATGATCGCTAACCCAGGAAGCCCTCAAATAACGGGCACACGCAACAGGAACCAGGCTGTTCAATACAGCCCAAGCACCCATAAGACGCCGGCTCAGCCGCACAACGTGCCAGCAACCGACCCTACGGACCTCCTAACTGATGTCGATATCGACTCCACCGAGCTGCCTGGTATGGCGCTTATTGACGTCGACCGCTATGTAGACCTAGCACGGAGAATACCGACTGATGGTTTCTTGCCGCTGATCAAGGCGGGTTTCGACGATGAGCGCGCCTCAGGCTCGCCATTGAGTGGTATCATGGAAGATCCCGAGTTCCCTCCCGTATGGCAAGGCGCCTGTGATCGGTTTTTCTGTTCCATGAACGAAGAGGTCCTTATTGAGACCATTGCTGGCAACATTGATCTTGCTTACCTGAAAAGCCGGGCCGCTGGTACTGACGTCGCACAGTACATTGACAAGCTGCGAGATCGCGCTTCATACCATCCTTCGTGCTATGTACGGCCCTTGACCGATACTAACGGCTCCGCCATGTCGCTTGACCATTATGAGCAGATGCTAGACATCGCTGAGCGCTACTGCGAGCGCAGTGTGGCACATGCCACCGAAGCGTACAACATCGACTGCATTGCCGATGAAGAGGAATCTCAGACGACGGATTCCCAAGACACCACTGGCTGGTCCCTCGATGATTCGAGGAAAGGTATTCGCCGCCATCTCCAGACAAGCGCAAACGCATTCTCGGAGAGCAGAGCGAAGTGTCTTCGCGCCTGGATCGTAGCAGGCCGAGCTCGCATACGCCATTGTCGAAGCCAAGGCATCAACCTAGCACCCACAATACAGTATGTTGGGTACGCAATGAACGCCGCAAAGCGGCGCAAAGGCCACGAAAGCCGGAACTCGGCTAGTTGGCTCAGTCTGCTTGTAAGCGACATATGCGAGACGCAATGGCCTGGTTTGTACAGGCTCAAGTTCTACGTGATCTGCTTGATCCTCGACCCGGGTCTGGGACAGCTCTGCGAGGTTGTCTTCTGTCGCTATCTACGCGCTTACACCGTGAATGGCGGCCTTAGCATCGATTGGGCAGGCAAGAGTATATCAAGCCTTGCCTTGCCAGAGCTAACAGATGCAGAGCGAGACGACTTTTGGGCTCGCAAGCAAAAGTGGATCGAAAAAAACACTGACCTCACAGCGAATGTCACCCTTGAGGGGCAGCGCCGCAAAGCTTTGTATAAAGCTGAGTACATGCAGAAAATTGCTGCAGGAAAGAAACGTCTGGCACAGCTCAAACAGAGAACGGCCAATGCTAAGAGCTTGTTCGCCCAAGCCGAAGAAACCCTCAGGATAGAGAGGAAGAAAGGCCCACTAACCGCCAAAAATGCGCAGGCGCTTGAAGCCGTCGAACTCGGCAAAGCAATCCTCAAGCGATAAGCAGAACCGCCGTTCGCTTCTACCGCGGCAATGCCGCAGGATGACGGGAGAATGGAGGGAGTGGTACATGGGACTGGGCTGGAGGCAATGGTACATGGGGCTAGTTCAATGAATATGACCACTTCTTCTCCATACATGCCACAATCATGAGTTCACATTGATCGTGTTCAACTGTAACATCCAACTTCCGATGCCTTTTGGCCACTATCTCGCGAGTTGCAACAGCTGGGGATGAAGGGCTGGTCATTGGTATGCGCCCAATAGTCATTAAGGGTATACACCTAACACTCCTTGTATCACGACCTCATCCCACCACTCCTCATACTCACACTCTCTGTGCCACTACTCTTCTCCCATCCATCTGCCTTCCTCCGTCCTAACGCCCTTCGAAGAATCCAATCTTTTGCTGTAACTTGCTCTTCTGCATCCTTTGACCCGCCCTCTATTAAACTCTTCAATAAAACGTCATCCTCGGGCCGGCAAAAGTACACAAGACTGTACCTCGTAACACTGCCCTGTTCACCTGGCGGAGCAACAACGCGATGGATGTTACTTCTCAGCGCACCATCAGAGAACTTGACAAGCGCATCTCCAAGATTGACGATGCAGTGTCCAGGTAAAGGACGAACATACGTCCAGCCATCTTCACACAGCTTCTTCTCCACGTCGGTAGGTGGGGGAGACGCGGACATCGGCTCAAGTGGCGATATGTGTTCAGGCAGCCTGACCTGCAGGCCACCCAAACGATTGAACAGCACTGTGACGCTACCAAAATCCGTATGTTCACCCAACGCCACGCCTTTGAGCGATTGCTCCTGCGGCGGCGCTTTGACAAAACGGATCTGGTCCCCTGATGCGGCATTCAAGCGATGGATGGCAGGCAGACCACCCGCTCCACGGATATCCTCTTTTAAAGGGAGCCGGGAAGATAGCAGAGAAGTGACAAGCATACAGATCGCGTGTGAGGAGGCGATGTACGATTTGTACAGACCACGATGTGGATTTAGGACCGCTGGGGAGGGGAGGGGGTCAGTGAGACCAATGACATCGTCCTTGGAGATCTAAGATGGTGTATTAGTACTGGAGACATGTGAGAGAAGATCGACGTACGTTGTAGAATTCATTCCTATCTTTCGTCCCTTGCTTGTCAACTATGCCTTCGCCGTATCCTTTGTAACCAAAGTAACTGCCCTGGTCTTTAAAATCGTACTTGATCTTCTCTGTGACATCGAGATCATAAAAGTCTTGCATCACATCGAACAATTTGTCCACGTCTCCGAGTAACGCATCGCCATCGATAGTAGTTCCATTATTCGTGTCACTGTTGCGTGTGCGTACGTCGAGGTAAAAGAAACCTAATTCGCAACATGCTTGCCAGCACCTGTTTTGTTCTTCTTCATCGTGCTCAAGAAGTTTCTGGAGGGATATGCGTAGAAGAGGCGCAGTGGGTACGTTATCTGGAAATTTTGGGAGATGGGGAAATGACTCGCGTTGCGGAGATGGAGAGTGGTCTGAGTGAGGCATGGTTAGCACTGGGCAGTTGTCTCAGTTCGCGAGGTTCATCGCGAAGGAGCGCAGGGTACGCACGTCGTTCGCATACAGTGGGGCAGATATAGCTGTTGGTGTTAAGATGTTCATGTGGAGAGCCGCGTGGAGAACGCGGGGTAGCCTCGGATAGCTAGACAACACGCGATGCTACGGATAAACAAAGAGATGATCACAGCAAGGCACAGATGAGGCAGCATAGACATCACGAAGCATGGACAAGGATTAAAGGAGACGCAATTCATTAACTATCCACAGATGTAGCTCCGATATTTCCACCACCCAAGCAAGCAGACATAGACGCGCCCCAAACACCGAGAGCGATAGACACCGATCGATGCCCGAGTGCGCCATGCTACCAGTCAAGTGACGATGCAAAAGTTATGAACACAATTTATAAAAGGTGGCCGTGAGGAAACAAACGCCTAAGGGATAATTGATTATAGAACGTTTGAATAAGACCTTGAAGGTGTTAGATGATGAACGATGATGAAGGTTGATGGTGATGATGACTTACCATTGACTAGATGTTTCTACAACCTGGATCCGTGGACAACCTTGTAGTCGACAGCCATCTCCATACCATCGTCATCGATGACGAGGATGCGGACGCTGCCACGGCCGTTGTCGAAAGACTCTGTCAGGCGGGAGATGAGACCGCTCTGGTCAAGGACGGGAAGGCCCTGCTTGACATCACCAGACTCGGTCATGGCGACAACGCGACCGTCCTCACGGATGTCGAGAACACGGTACTGCTTGAAGACAGGACCGAGCATGTTCTGGACAACGACGGAGGGGGCCGGGTTGGAGATGAAAGAAGACTCCTCATGGAGCTGCTTGGTGAACAGGTCAACACCGAGGTAACGGTGCTGGCCAGTCTGGGAGGAGGTGGTGATACGGATGACCTGGCAAGGGCGGCCCTGGAGGATCAGGAGATCGCCGATGCGGATGTGGTGGCAGGGGATGGTGATAGTCTTGGAGGAAGCCATCTTGCGGACTGTACGAGCGGAAGCTGGTGCAGGTGCGATAGAAGCGGAGACGGGAGCAGGTGCAGGTGCAGGGGCAGGTGCAGCAGCAGAAACTGTGGACCTGGGGGGAGAAGGGTTGGAGTGGACGCGAACGACTCTCTCAACAGGAGCTCCGGATTGGACGGGGCGGCTAGGGGCAACAGAAGGAGTAGCTGAAGTGTACTTCTCCTTGACGATTACCTCTTCACGTTCGTCGTCGTACTTGGCACCAGGGAAAGAGTGCTCGTGAGAGTGGTGGTGGCGGTGAGGGTGGATGGGGTGTTGGATACGGTCGGCGACCTTGTGAGCGGCGTGAGAGATTCCTTGACGAAGCGAGTGGTATTGGCCCTCGTTGTCGTAATATCCCATATCACGCTTGAACTTCTTGGGGGGTGCAGCAGTGGAACGAGCAGATGTTTCTACTCGGACCTCAGATGGCTGGTGGCTGGCGACACTCTCGACGTGCTTGCTGCTGGGGAAGGTATCGTGCTTGGTGGTGTAAGTCTCCTTTGAGTAGCTTGCACCGGCGACGATGGGACGAGTACGTTCGCGGATCTGACGTTCAGTAACGTCGATTTGAGATGGAGCGTAGTCGGTGGCAGGGCCGTGGACTGTATTGAAGTGTCTATCGTAGGTTGTGTCCTGAACCTCGACGTGGGAGTGGGTAGAGGTAGGAGGTTGGGGGTGAGGTTGGTAGCTGAAGGAAGAAAGGAAGGTCAGCTTTGGGTTGGGCAAGGAAGAGCTTAGAGGAGGTGAGAGAAAAGTGGAGACTGCATGTCGCTAGGACAACAACAGATGAAAGGGGTTAGCGGCTAGCGCGTGGCTGGGTGCCGCTAAAGTCAGGGGGTTGGTCTGTTGTGCTGATCCGTGCGAAGATGCGCTGGCAAAACAATGGATCGGACTTACCGGTCGTGGGATCGCTCAAACTCTACGCGGTCAGTACGATGAACGTGCTGAGAGTGAGGCTGGGGCTGCTGGAATTGCGGCTGGGACTGCTGTTGAGGCGGCTGGAACTGCTGCTGGGGCTGGCGGTAGCGAGTTTGCTCGTGGATATGTAGCTCCTCACGGTGCTGAGGGGGCTGCTGAGCGTGGAATTGCTGGGACTGGGAAGCCTGCTGGAACTGCTGCTGCTGGGGAGGCTGGGGACGACGAAGACGCTCCTCTTCGTAGATGTGGACCTCTTCCTTGACGTGAGTGTCGTGCTGCTGCGGTTGCTGCTGCTGTTGGGGAGCCGGAGGAGGAGGTAGGACGGTGGCGGAGAAGGATTCGTGGGTTTCTTCGTGACCTTCCCGTCCGTGTGAAGCCTGTTGCTCAAACTGTGCTTCCTGTTCTTCTACCTTTACGCTGGTAGTTTCCTTAAATTCCGCGTTCCGATACGCAGACGGGAAGACACTGAAGGGGATCGGAACCTGCGCGGGTTAGCATAATTGCTTATACACTCGCGGTGAAAGAGCATACTCGTGCTTCAAAATCCAGTTTGCCGGAGTCGGGTCGCTCTTTCTCGAAAACCCTTCGAACCGTTCGAAAACAATTCGAAAGGAATCAAGAAAGAACTTCTTGGCTCCTTTGAGGGTCTCACTTGGAGATTTCTGGTGATGAAAGATCTACTGAAGCGTCGCCAGCTTTATGGTGTTGACGTGCAGCTGCTTGAAGATGCGCAATTGGATGCAGTAGCGGGGTGTAGGTGGAGGAGTGATGGAGTCAGAATGGCCGAAGAGGGGATCAAGTAGATTGGCGGTCAGTCGGATCACTGTTGTGTCGGCGTCTCGATGATCGCAGGGTTGTGGAGGCTGGGAAGCTTTGGCAGAGCTGTCCAGGAGCGGACTAGCCTTGTTGACACGGAGCACTAGCGCGTATCAGCTCCCCCTTTTCTGCCTGTGCCATGGACCGATTGACCCCAGACAGCATATCACATCCTGGCGCTTCTCGCACCGAGGTAATTTCGGACGCGCAATTCACCTCAGCACGGCTGTTGACCGGGCAATGGCGTTCACCTCGTGTCGCAATCCATATTCCCGTCGCATTGGAGCTCCACAGAGCTGCCGGGAGCTTCCCCGACCTTGCTGCAGCTCCACGAACGTGTCCATTGCCAGTGGGCCGATCCCAACCTGCGTGGTATAATGCAATTGGGGCCGGACTGCTGTCCCATGCATGAGGCGCCAGCTTCGGACGTGAAGAGAGGCATTTTTCAGCTCACCTTATCCATGTCGCGCGCGGCCAGCTGTTGATAGCTCCAAGCCTTTCCCCAGCCTCCTAATATTAGTCGGGTCGCCTCGCGTCGCCATTGGCCAGAGCTCCTGGATGCCGCAGCCTGAAAAGCATGGCTGCAGGATGGGTCGACGACGATCACGGATCCGCCGGACTATCACGTGCAAAATTGCTCATCGATCGCGGTCCAGCCGATGACCATCGACGCGGACTGGGTGAGTTGTCCGGTCGCTTGCAAGCTCGACGCATGTGAACCGTGGTTCTCAACGGCTGTCCGCATCATCGTCCCCACGGAGAGCGCCCGCGTCTGACATGCAGCACCTGCCGCAGCGACGGTTTCGTGATTGTGGAGAACTCGATGATTGGTGTACTAGAAGGACTCTGTGGGCTGTCAGTGTCACCCAAATGCTATGTAGTCTTGCTTCGACTGGTATCCCATGCACGTCTAACTAGATCGATATCGTATATGTAACAGACATACCCCTCTCGAGGTTTGTTAGCAGAATCCGACTCTTTCTCCGATAACGTGCTTTCCTCTAAGCTCACCAAGACCATGCCAATCCTAACTCGATGTAACTTGGAACCGGAAACCGAGGACAGGCAATCTACAGTCGTTCGATTAGGATAGGCTTCGGTGTGCATGCAGCATACTTGAGTGACGTTGGCAACTCCGAGCTGCGGATCTAGTCGCATTGACGGCGCGCAGTGTGCTTTACAGGAAGAGCTAGGGGACGTACGTGGATTTTGTTATTGATCGGCCTAGAAAAGAAGCAGAGGCGTGTTTTGTTGTCACTGTTCTTCTCTCGCTGCTTTGAGTCCCATCTCGGCTACCAGTATGGGAAAGCACGATTCCACAGTCATGAAGAAGATACACGCAACCACCTTGGTCCTGCACTAGCACCCATCCCAATTATGCTTCTTATACATTTGCCAACATCTGGTTCGGATGCGTTTCCTTGATGTCTTTTCTAAACCTTGTACAGTTGCCGTCTTCTTTCTGGATGGATATCTGCTGTTCATTATGGCATCCCAGACAATGACATGGATACATCCAAGGTACAAACGACATGAAAGGGCTGTATCACACATGTCGACGTATGCAAATGACCGATGTTCGCCATTATACTCGCGTTGAGAATGCGTTCATGCAAATATGGAATAACGCGCTCCTTCTGATTGTCCAATAAATTGGACATCCATCGACTTTGGACGTAGCAGCTTTCAGTCAGGAAAGAGGTTTTTTCAACAAGGAAACTCACTCAATATGCGTCAGTAGGTGTGTATCGTTAAGTCGTAGCAGAGTAAGTGAACAGGAGACTGTCGTGGTCTGCTTGACTCTAAAACAATTACTAGCGTTCTATTCATCCCATGTATCCTGCATGCGCGTGTTGGTTAGCAACACTGTTCGTCGGGGAACCGACGATGACAAGTTTAGGCCGGAAATTGAGACTTTCCTGTCGGTTCACCCTTACCTTTTCACAGCAACACGAGTCGATGAGCATGCGTCCGTCCGATTACATACAATTTTTCACTCAACCATTCATACCACTTTGGATGTACCGTAGCCACCTCAGTATTCGATATCCATCTGCGGTGCTCTTGATATCGACGTTGCTTGCCGTGTCAGCAAATGCTCGTTTTGTGATTTGTGCAGACAAATCCCACCCGACACTTCCTACCAAACCTCAAGATCGAATTGGCATCGATCATGTTATTATTGCCTTCGCCAAAGCCAACCCTAGAGCTACATTTCAGTCTATGCTCCCTATGCATACGGTTCTCTCCGAGTACCCTCGCGCGGAAGTCTTGATTGCTGTGTGAGGGTAGGGCGATGATATCGGATTCGATCAAGCAACGCATTTTGATGCGTAAACGAAAACGTTCGCTGCCAATGTCGCTACTATGCTTGCCAACACTGAGACTGATCCAGGCAGTGAGTAAATCATCCACCAACATCAGCAAGCCATGTACTGACAAAGGAAGACATCATTTGGGGATATCCTGGCGGTAATGGTGCGGACCACAAAGAAGTACTCAACTCCGAAAAGAATCATCAGATTACTGCGTTTCCTAGGTTTTAGCTCCCATTCGCACCGCGGTTGGAAGTGAGCTTCGATCGCTGTACCAGAGAAGCAAGTCAGTTCATTCCTGCTGGACTACCACAGGCTTTGTAACCTTGGGTACTCTCGACTACTTTCGCAATGCACTGTTCACTAGCCTGAGCTGAATAGCGACAGGTAACATGCTTGGGTACACACAGAAGAGCAGACCTTAGATATAGCTATCTGCTGATTTCATAAATGTAAAAGGTGATTACCCTTTCACTCATCTACCTAACATCTTATCCTCAGCTCAGCCAGGTAATGAGCTACGACCTTATGAACCCCCGCGATGAATTGACCAAGCATCGCGCTTCTGTTGTCAATCTGGAAGTCACAATCGAAAATTACATTGCAATAAGTTCTCGACCCAAGAAGCTCAATCTCTACTTCGTATACCACGCCAAATTCTTCACAACAAAAGGAGACTGCAGTACCAAGCCCCTCCACTGCCCTATTACCGTGGCCGAAAACATCTGGGAACATGGCGCGTTCAAATCTGACACCTGCATCTTCGAAAAATCCCATATGCATCCAGTCAGCACTTCTATGATAACTGTATCTTGGCATAGTATTTGCGGTCCAGAAGAGGAAACAACATGCAGTATATACTGCTCTCAATACGTACGTTGCATTGCCACACTTAACCACTACCACAGCGCCTAACAAAGTGCTTTTGGAGTAGGGCGCACCGATGCCGACCTAGCAGCGTCCTAGTGAGTAGCAGCCAAGCACGGTATTGTCACTGATGAAGTAATTGGTGGACAGTAGTATTCTAATGCTCAGAACCGTCTATTCTGGACTTGGGATACGTCCATAATCGTCACCAGGAATGTTTTACATATCATACGCAAGTGTATGCTTAACAGGATAGTAGCATATAGTTTAGGTGGAGATAGTGCGCATTGGAGTCAAGTAAGGCAGATATCTGGCGAGGTAGCAAAAGGTGGATATCAGTTGGCGACAGACGAGGATTCGAACGCGTCATCCGCTCCATATGTAGATGATCCTGTAGAACCAGCTTTCCTTGTCGCAGAGGTGAGGTATTGGCCATTCTATTGGCACCTGCACCTGGGACCGAAGCTAGCTCAGCACCAGTCCGCCAGACCAGAAACTTCCCCTACCCTCACGAGTTCGTGGGTCATGAGACTGAATTAGATTTAATACCAGACCATGCCGTGATTTGCAACTGCCACGGGTTAGTTCGATACTCTCCACAAGGAGGCCAACCTTGAGCTCGATACAGCATGTCAATATGCCAGCGCTGCCACGCCCGCGACACGAATTAAAGTGACCACCGCCATCCACTCTGAGCCCGCCGCAATCCCCGAGCATAAATCTTTACACACATTAGAATATCTTAGGGTGCAGGAGAGTGAGTATCTCAGCGAATCTTCTCGTGTACGCACACGTGAGAGGGTACATCAGGTATGAGGATACTGCTTTTCCATAGTTGGCCTGGCCGTCAAATTCTGATCCAGGCAACACAAGGACATGGCATTCCTATAGGCATGACGTAGCGTACAATTAATGAATTACTACTCTTTTCCTCGAGACACAAGTGTCTCGCTTTCCCATACTTTACAATCATCTCTCATGCTCCGTTATCCAATACACAAGACACTTTCGTACCCGTTCTAACCCCAACCCATGTTCTCATGCGAAGGACCCTATGCCTTGACAGTACTCCTCTTCATGCCCTTTCTTGCGTTCTTCTCTCTCTCCTTCTCCAAGAACTTGCGCTGCTCATCAGCACTCAGGCGGCCCAATTTGGCATCCCTCTGCTCCTTCTTCAGCTTGTCGGCAGCCAGTTTCCTCTCCTCTGCCTTCTCCTCATCATCCGCCTTCTTGATCTTGGCGATCTGCTCGTCGCGGGTTTGCTTGATGCGACGGAGGGCTTCAGGGCGGAAGTGTGCAGAGGAAGCGAGCTGATCAGGGAGGCGAAGGAAGTACTGGAAGATGGGGAGGGTGGTGGCATAGTCCGAGGCGAACTTGAGAGAGAGATTTAGACGCTTCTTAGGCTTGGTTTCGTCGAGGCTGGGATATGTTAGCTTGGTCCAAAGAGTGAGGTATTGCAATGCTGTCTGACTTACGTCCTGGGGGCGTTGATGGGCTGGTCGCTGACGATGATGGCCTCGAAGTTGTCTCCTGCGTCGTTCACGGCTTTGATAAGCTCAGGGGTGAGCAGCATATCCGTGACTTCAGCGCTCTCACTCATGACCGTGGTCCAAACAGGCAACTTGGCGTGGTCGCGCGTGGTAGTCAGAGACAGGTCGTAGCGCTCGTCGCGCATGCGCTTCATAATGTCCTTGTGTACAATTGCGAAGACGAAGCCATCGAAGGTGCTGTTGGTGACCTTCTTTGACTCACCCTGACCGTATGATGGAGCAAACTTGGTCTCCCGGCCATCGAAGACGTAGGCCGTAGCCTCGAGGCGCTCAGAAGGTGGAGGGAAGCTTTCGAAGAACAGGGGAAGGACGGATTCACCAAGCCATGCGAAAGGGTTGAAGCGCTTGTAGAAGGTCAACTTGAAGTCGACAAAGGCGACGTTCTGGCGTCCGGTAGCGTATGTCTGGTACTCGTCGGCCTTCTTCTCCTTGAGCAGGCTGTCCACGTCTGTAACCTCTCCCTCTCCGCTTGGGCGCGTATGACCGACTTGGGCGAACTCCTGGGACAGGACAGGAGCGTGGGCCTTCATCCATGTCCTGGCCTTGCTGCGGTTGCGCTTGGTGCCCCAGAGGTGGACCGCGATGAGAGCGAAGAGAAAGGGCAGGATGTACATCTCCAGCTTGAAGTCATCCATGCTTGTGCGCTCCCACACACGGTACCATGCCGTGTATGGGCGGCTGTCGCCCAGAGCTGTAGGGGCAGCCTGCGCCGCGCCGGTACCGGTGGTGAAGGACGAGATGGCAGCGGGTGTGGGCTCAGGAGCACCTGCGTAGTCGGCGAAGTCTGGCCATTGTCAGCGCGTGCTGTTGATTTTGTACATACACAAGCTCTGTGACGTCCGATGACACCCTCACGACGGCCCCGCGACTCCCTCTCTTCTCAAGAAACTGTAGCATCGCACCAGGGATCTCGTGTGGTCCCGCATCTCAGGTCGCTGGGCTCGCGATCGCGTATGCAATGCAGTGTACGTACCATCATCACCAACAACTGGAGCCTGTGCAGGCTTTTGCCCACCGAAGAGACCCTTGACGAAGTCTGCCATTGCGTCGATGCTTCACAATGAACAGGTGTACGTGGAGGTTTGGCGGCGCGGGAGGTGGTTTGGAGGATCCATGGATCTCGGCTCGGTTCCTCGTTGGTGGCACTGACCTCATTTTACAGCGACTAGCACGCATGTGGAGGGGCATCTGGGCAGCTACCCCAGAGCTCGATTGCATTGGATTGAACCGAGAATTGGCATGTCTGCTGCATCGCCTGTTTTGAAAGGTTGGAAACAAGACGTGTTCGCACCTCAATATGGACGTAATTGCAAATGGCGGTAAGGAGCTAGCCGTAATCGGACTAATATAACAGTCAAAGGACGGCAGCATCACTCTACAGAAGTAAAGGCAACGAAAAGAGACGGTATTGATTGTTCTATGCGGCCAGACGAAATAGTTGTCATGGAGGGCAAAGGCTTGTTGATTGATTGTACAGATGCAGACGACTCATCCCGGGCCCCTCCTATCCGGATATCATATTCGAGGTGGGAGTTTCTAGTTCTTGCCGAACCAGGTCTTGTGTCCCTAGTCAAAGTTAGTCGTGGGCGTGCTCAGATCAGCCAGGTGCAACTTACAAGGACGAGACGGCCCATCATGTACATGCTGGCACCGAAGCTGCTGAACATGATGACCTTGAATCCGGGAACCATCCACTTTCCACGGGCCTAGAGGAAATCTGTCAGCATGCGTCTCCGATTGTGATGATATCCAGGCGCCACATGTCCAACGCCGGCTTGCGCATCCTCGTGGGCCACGTCATATGCACCCCATTGATCTTCCTCTTCCGCATTCGGTACGCACCTTCTCCCAGGTCCTCAGTCCGTCGTGCTTCTGGAACTCGCGTTGCCAGTAAGGCACTTTGTTCTCGCGCATAACCCAGCTGCTGACTGTCAGTACCGAGCTCTGTGCGGAAAGACGGAGGAGTGTGCGAGGCCACGGCGGCGCGGTACAGAGCCCACGGCCACAGCCACAGCCACAGCTCCAGGGTGGACGTACCCAGCCATTTTGAAGAGTGTAGATGTGTATTGCGCGGCTTGCGGGGGCAATTGGTGGTTTCGTGGATTGGGCGGTTTCGTGATGTCGCGAGGTCGAACGATCCGCCGGCGAAAGGAAGTCGGCCGCCAAGGCCCTTGTCCGCTTTAGGCGCAACAACTTTCCGCATCTTCAATTCGGGCAGAGACAACTGCGACGCCAATGGACTGATTTCGCCCTTCGCCCCTGTCTCGTTGATGCCGCCGGCCCTGGACAGGCTCCTCGCCAGCCCGTCTGCTCTGCGACTCCTGTGCTCCATCGTCAATGCCCCCGAATTCCCCGCAGCATGTTCGATAGCCACAAATTGCTGCTCTTCAGTAGTAGCCCGCCGCAATTACTCGTACCAGCCCAAGTCTCAGTCCAAGCTACAATGGAGGCGAATGGCAGATGCCCGCAAGGAAGCAGAAGTCCGAGGCCAAGTGCGAGCAGCACTCGAGAATGACGATGCCAACGATACCCCCGTACCGACCATTGATGTCTTTGACAACGACGTCATACGTGTAGCAAGAGGAGACGACGATCCCAGACAACTCGCTGTCGTGCTCGCAAGCGAAGAGAGACGGCATGGGGCCAAGGGCGTCCGCAATGTCTGGCGAAACATTCGTCATCGAGGGTACCGCCTGCCTACAGAAGACACCCCAGATGCCGAATTTCTATGGGGGACTTTTGTCAGGAACCATTTGCTCACAGGCAAAGCGATCGAGCACGCTGAAGAGCTGCTCCATGAGACAGGCAAAACATACCCTCATCTCTACCGTCTGGTCATGAGCCACTGGCTTCCGAGGAGAGCACAGACAGCGTTGAGATACCATTACACGCTGCAGAGGAACCTGAAACCCCAGCGGCTTCCCTTACGGCAGTTGGCACATTTGGGACGATCGACTTTCAAGCACGCTGCATACGAAGCCCTCAAGGAAATATACGAACACAGCAACGAGCGAGACCTCTACGACGATGTGGTACCTGTCTTCATCGAGAAGGGAGATATCACCGCCGCACGCCAATGGCATGCGCTTTGCACTCTTCGTAATGATATGCCGTCAGAGTCTGTCGCGTTGCACCCTGTCGTTCGGCTGTTCATCGTCGAGGCATCAGCTGGTGATGTCTACTTTGAGACAAAAGGAGCGACGAAGAAATGGAAGCGGGATCCAGCCAGGTACAACGAGACTCTTCTGCGACGCTTGGAAGGCCCCGACACCGCACCTGTTCGATTCGAAGACTCGTTTGTCGCTCGTATGTTCGCAACCCGCACTTTTCCAGCGGCCTCCATTATACAAGGGCTCTCTATGGTGGGAGTGAACGAGATTGGACCTCAGGCTGTCCTCACCATGGCACTACAAACGCAGCAGGTCGAGGAGCTACCTAAGAGATTTGAAGAGCTCCGGTCAGCAGGTATTGCCTTACAGGGCTGCGTCTTCTCCCTAGCATTGGAGAAATTCGTAATGGAGCAGAAATGGCAGTTGGTGCGCAGTATGTTGACAAGCGACCAGCATCCAGATGTCTTCGGCGACGCCAAAGTACAACGCAAGCTGCTCGGATACTATCTTGATAACAACGACTATGCCCAAGTTCAGCGCACGCTTGCCATTCTGACGCTCTTCCACAATGATGCCAGCCAAGAGTCCTGGAACCTTCTCTTGCAGGCCTATGTCAAACGTTCTGGGCCAACACATATCATGGAAGTGCTCCAAGACATGCGAGCACGTGGCATTATGTTGACAGCCGAATCAATCGTGGCCATCCGTAGTCTACTACGCCGCCGGCAACCAGGACGCAAACCCGTCGGCAATCGTTTCGACGACTTGCGTTTTGTCACACGAGTATTTGTAATGATTCTCGAGAACGGTTTAGGTGTCGTTTCTCCGCTACAATGGCGTGAGATCATCCGCAGATATGGCATGACCGGCAGACTAAGAGAGCTTAGGCGAGTTCTCATCTGGCTTCTCTGTTGGTATGCGCCGAGGAGCAGTCATCAATTCAACCACTTGCCAAAGTCATCATTCTTGGAATCGGCCACAGCAAAATTGCGCGCTGCCCATCCCGAGCGTGGCCACTGGTTTCACTTTCCAGCGATGGTAACACAGATCAACTCGTCGCATCCTGTTCGTCAGCTATTCCCTCCATCCCTACAGCAAGGTCTTATTGTATGGGGCTTCAAAGCTGGGCTCCTGCCAAACGCTCATCTAGAACAGTCCATACTTCAGTCTGCGCTTGCTAAAAAACACTATCGTCGTCGGTTACTTGAGCACGGGACTTTGCGTCAGTTGGAGTGGAGTATAGGCTTGCGAATTGTGGTGCTGCTACGGGATCTTGGCGTCTTCGTTCACTACCACACAGTTCTCAAGGCCCTGCAAATGCAGTTTGTCAACATGTTTGGTCACGGCCGGTCGAACCGGAAAGAAAACAGGGTGATGGAGAGAGCTAACACGCTTCCCTACGCTAGATACGTCGATGAGGTCAACAAGATATGGGGCAGTCCGCTATTGAGAGAGCCTCAGCTTTTCAGCAAAGGTATGGTGCATGACCACATGTGGCACCCACGCATGAGGCGGACTACCAAACGCAGAGCCTCCGTCGGTCTTGGTGAGATTCTGGGCTCAAAGTATACGGATCGCGGCAATGAAGGGCGTAGCCCTACAGAGGAGGATGATGCCGCCGCTCTTGAACAGCTACAGAAGCACTTCGACGCGCAGGCTCAGGCCATGGAATCCGTATCTGAACCACAACCTCAATCTACGGTAATTGGCGACGCGTTCAATGCGGCAGCAGGGACGGGCGACAGAACCCTACACTCACCAATAATCATGGATGACGACCTCAAGGCATAGCCTCGCCACGTTACTTGGAGAATATATACAGCAACCCCTCCGATCCCGGGGTTGAGCTAGTGCATTTAATGATATAAACGCTTGACTTACATGCTGCTTTCAATGCAAGGATTTTGTCTCGATTTGTTTTTACAGTCATCTGAAGTGTGAAGGTCCAGATGATGAACCTCATCTACAAGACGCTTTGCGAATTTGTATCTGGCTTGGAGCAAATGAATCCAGTCGCATAGCACTAAGCTTCGAGGCTCTCTGCAGTAGCAAAAATGCTGGCAAAAAGTGGATCGCGTGGCTGGACCCAGTGCAAAAGCCTTGGTTCTCACGGCGATGAGTCGTTCAAGAATTAGTGCTAGCAAGAAGGCCCATCACTTGCTGCGGGAAGGAGAAGACACTTTAGAATTCGCTCTTATGCGACACTTCCCTGCTGACCCCTTCACCTTCTTTCCCACCACCGCTTCCGGCCAGCCTGACTGCGATAGTGGGCTTGTGCACCAGCGTCTGCAGCACAACACAATATCTCTCCGTCAGCTTGCCCAACTTTTCCACTTCTTCCTCGCTGACCTCTCTACCGTCTTCTCTCTCACCGAACTTGACCGCAAACTCTAGCCGAATGCCGGTCATGCCAACGGGTGCCGTTCTGTCCACGCCTAGTGTGCCCTTGAAGTCTAGGTCCCCTTCTGCAGTGACGGTACCGGATGCGATTGGAATGCCGAGTGCGGTGGCTACAGCCTTTAGAGTAACGCCCGAGCAGGCTACGAGGGCATCGAGTAACATGTCTCCAGAACAGAGTTCCCCAGAGATGGCTGGGTCGTCGCCGCCAGCCTTTTGATGCAGGCCGGCTACTCTATGTGCTTCCTTCACAGCAGGACCGTCGGATAGCTTGCATGTTATTGAATGATCGTCGAGAGAACCAGTAGATTTTAGGGTGACAACGGCGGAGGAGGGGTCGCTACGGTAGCCGTCTTTAATTGGGGCTTGCTTCTGGCGGAGCGCTTGAGCGGCGGACATGGTTGCCTTATGTCGAACGTGAGACTGGGAGTGAAGGATGGCTAAGTCCTGTGTCTACTGTAAGATGAGCGAGATTTTAATCAAAGCACATATTTTAAAAGTCAAGGTCAGCCTATACATCATTATGAAGCATACCCCGCAAGGGGCAGGTCGAAGCTCCGCAGCCCCGCTTCGCCGCTGGTGCGAACGATCAAACAGGAAGGAGGGGACGCTCGATCAAGACGTTGGCTCAAAGTGCCATGTCAAGGAATTAAAAATCACGTGCTGATGAGCGTGTTTGAGTTGAATGAGGTGAAGAAGAAATGGCGCGGCCTGCTCAGATTAAAAGTATCACTAGACACGTGCAACTTCGCGATAAGCGACGCGCCTGCGGCACGCGTCTTCCGACCAGGTCAACGTCATTTCTCGTCACGGATCTCGACAGCACAGTCTACATAACCCGAAATGGGAATGAAAACAGCTGCCTTTGTAGGAAGTACCTACCACCGACACATCAGTCCTCGAGGAATTTCTACGGCAAAATGTACCTACCTGACTAAGATCCGATTTGAGGTGGTTGGTGACTGTCGCATTGTACTAGGGGGCCTGGGAAGTATATTGAAGTACCTTATGCACATCTTCCACAAAGCTACACAGACCAACAGAACCTGGGTACGGAAGAAAAAGCCCAAGTGCAACGCAGCTCCAAGTAGTGCGGCCGTTAGGGATCTGATTATAGAAGAAGATTGAAGTGTCATTCAGTTCCATCTCTTCATCTTTAATGATGAAGGCTTACACAGTTTGACATCTTAGCTAAGTACTACTCCATCTGCCATGTGAATAGACACCTGGAGCAACTAGCATTCAGAAAGATCGGAATCGGATGCGCCATGTGCATATCGCCGAATGGCCTTGCCTACTTGATATTCACAATTGGTCCCAGCAGCAATCGACAGACTTGATCTTGTCCTGTTTCATTGTCAGTTAGAAAAACTATATCGAGATTTGGCACATGCCAACAATACTCACGTTGCAGCCAATGGTCGCAGGATTGGTCGCAAGATTGCCAACCGAGCCGTGGAGGAAGAGGGATCTAGCCGTGGGTTCACAGTGACCAGTACTAGTTCGAATCAGTGTCGCATCACTAATAGATCTACTAGGTCAGACGCGCCTGTAGAAGAAGCAATAAAACTTCCGCCCATGGTTAGGCGCACCGTCGGGGCAAACGTCGAAGCGAATTGAGGATGGCTCGATAGTGACTCTATCGTGTATTAGTGATTGTAGATTGAACTTAGTAAGTGTCCATACTCGTCTTTTGTGTTTAACAAGGTCATGCAACTGTTCATGCCATCCCTGCAGTGGTAGGCCGTCACGACACTGCCTTTGTAGTTGGTGTGCTGGTAGAAATGAACCTGTGATGGTTAGAGAAACGGGCGAAAGCTGATAACGCGTACATACATTAGACGCACCACGATCCCAATCTGCGACGTTAACGTCGGTAGCGTCTCTTGCGTTGTGGGCACTGGACTCAGTAACCGGCGCACGCGCAGGCATGATCACGTTGCTGAGATCAACGACCGCCGGCTCATCACCGAGCTCGATCGTAGTGCCATCAATCTTGTTGAGAGTAAGAGCCGCTACAGCCGAAAGAAAAGTTATGAGGAGAATGAAGAGACGCATATTTGCTGGATGAAGGTCCTGTTGTGGTTGTGGTTTGATGGATAAACCTGGAAGGCAGTGGGTTCGAGTTCGAGTTGTTCGTGAGAGGACTTCGGAATGAGGACAATGATGGAGGTACAGTAGTACAAACAGAACAACTATAAGTGAAGGAGGGTTGTCCGGTGAGTGAGCGTTTGCCTAGAATGACCACACAGCGACGTACACAGAAAAGGCCAAAATCCCAGGAGCGCTGACGAGTAGACCATGAATCCGCTCGCTTGAGGGATCCATTATCCTGCAAGTGTGTATGAACCATTGGACACCGTCTTACTTTGTAGAGCGATGAGTTTCTGCCTCATTGGTGCGAGAAGTGAGCAACGAAAGTCGCTTCATCAGTAAGAGCTGGAGGCGCCTAGTCAAGCGATGGGCGCTAAGGCTTAATTCGGTGTTGAAATCTTATTGGCGGCCTCACACCACCTATACGTGTAGGCAGTGATCATACTTAGTAATATCAAAACTCGCAACCTCGGCAAAAGACTTTCACCATGACGATACATCCGTCAAGGACTTGTAATCTGCTTACCGTTCTCCCTCAACCTCCATGGAGACAGCCTCTGGATTGGGACCTTAGGATGACCTGGGAATGCGAAAAACGTGTATTCTTCCCGGCATACGTGAAGCAGCATGACACTAGTAACCCGTCGCAACGCTCGCTCGGTAGCTTCCCCCATTTCCAAAGGCTTCCTGCCGAGCTACAGGTTCGCATTCTTTCTTGCTGTCCAGCGTCAACCCTATGGCAGCTCATGCGTGTATCTTCCACGCTACGCATCGAATCTTCGAAACTGTTCTGGGCAAGCCCAAGCGCCTCGTTCCTCCTATCTGCTGACTGGCTATTGGGAGGTGGCTACGCTGGACGTACTTATCACGACCTTTCATTCCTTCGCCACGTACAGAACGTAGAGATTGAATGCCACTGTCTGTACGATGAGCTTTGGCCAGAACACAAGGCGAATGATCCGTTCTGCCCTGAAGACGCACGGCAAGATGTGGTGGATATCATGTGGACTACTTTGAGGAAGACATGTCCAACGATTAAGAGCGTGGTGTTCAACCACCAGAAGATAATGTCCTCAATAGAGTTAGAGGGAGCGGGAAATGTGCCGGAATGCTTGAAAGCGTTAATACAAGCTTGTCCGAGGAACATCGTTGCAGAAGTATCCACCGTGGAAGAGAGAGAAGGACGTTATTGGAACAATGGCACCTACAGCGATTTCTACAACGTAGAATGCAGGAGAGCACACTATCGGCCTCTGCAGGGTGGAGGCTGGGAGGAACTCGTGTCGAAAGCCAAGCAGGACGCAGTGCTGGTGCCTGGACGACGATTTCGTGGAATAGTCGGGCAGTTTGAGAAAAGTTACTTCCTTTTTAGGAGAAGGGTCCTCCAGGAACGTGCATTCTGGCCCCTTGTTATCGAAGCTTTGGATCGATACCACTTCGATGATGGAAGGAATAATGCTTTCCAGTGTCCAAACGTAGACTGTGGTTCAGTATTTACGAAACCAGGTGAATGGACAATACATGCAGCAACTACAAAACACGGTTGGGCCAAAGTAGAGGATGGTTTATTCGACATACTACCCCCAGAATTGAGAGCTGTATTTGAGACCAAGTTCAATCTGATAGAGGCCAAGCAACAAGCATCGGAGGAGGAGTCTACTAAGATGTCTAGGGATTGGAACGAAGAAGGGGAGGAGAGGAGAAAAGAGATGGAACAAGAGTTCCTTCAACAACTAGAGAACGATGCAGATTGGGCGACAGGGGAGCAGGCAGTGGATCATCAGATCTGGAAAAACTTTATCAGGGTGATGCATCCGGAATGGAATGGATTGTAATGCTGACCCATATGGATGTGCATGGCAATGTGCCAGGGACGCGACGTATCCACAAAGGACGGGATCTGCTACAGACTGAAGCATGCGGGTACCTTGCTGCAGAGGCGGTGTATTCTGCCGCCGGGATACCATCTAGAGTGCACAGGACAAACCATCGGTCGGTTTCGACTGGGCAGTTCAAAGGGTCGCATCTTGGTGGTCGGACGATGCAGGTTTCTGTGCATCTTTTGGAGTCGCATAGATGTATTGTTGATTATATACGATCAGTAATCCCATGTATACACATCAGCAGGTTTTGCAAGATCTGGCAATGGGTTTACTCAACAGACTGTCAACGGTACCTTACTCCACATTGAATGGGTCCATACTTGAGCGCATGTGCCGAATTAGTCGGTCGGACACCGACTCTGCAGTCTCGAAGCATCGGGCCGTAAAAATCCTCGCTCCTCGTGCGCTACTGGATGCGTTCGTCTGCAAATTTTGAGCCTCATCCCGCGCAGAAGTCGACTCGAAGCACGCGTGGGCCATTCGGAGCCACCGCGGCTGTACAGAACAGGCAAACCGACCGCCACTATAGCGCGATGTCGCGTGCGCTCCGTTTTAAAAGTCAGCAACTGGCATGCCCCACGTGCTGAAGTCGGGGGAGGTCGGAGGTGGATCGAGAAATCGGTGGTGGAGAGGCCGCGGAGGGCTGAGTCGTGCCATGGGGCGAGGCGCGAGGCGCGACAGCAAGGCGTTCAGCGTTCGAGACGGGAGCCGGCCTGACGTCATGGGTGGCCGTCTAAACTTCGATAAACAGGCTAAGACGCGTGGCGCAGCTTGGCAAGAGCGATCAGCACAGCTTGGTGTGCCTTCTTTGATGCTTGGAAGAAGGGCGGGGGCTTATGTTGGAGGCTTAAAAGCCAAGTTGTGCTGTCGCGAACGCTTCATGCCATGGGGACATGCCCTTGGAAAACATGCAATGGAATCGCGGATGACGTAGCGCGACAGGTCGCATATGGTAGCGAGTGAAGGACGGCAACACAACCCGCGCCTCTTGTTGGAAACGTCTTCGCTTCAACCAACGTCTGTTTAGCATTCGACCCATTTTTAATGCTACATTGCCTAGTCTAAGAGGTCTGGGGCCAATCTCCAACGGCCTCCAGCACGAACGCGCCATAGCGCCAAAGCCCTGTCAGCGTGAAAGATGCGATATGACGTCTCGAGGATTCGAGCGCGTGCCCTGTGATGCGCACAGTATGCACTGCATGCTTTGGAGCGTGCACCTCCGCCTCCACATGCACTGCACTGTGTTATAAGCTGTTTCCTCCGCCTGTGTGACGTCTGGATTTTCTCATTCAACCCCAGCTTCCTGGATCCGGTCCCCGCAACTAGTCCCCCAGGTTGACCACTCTCAACCGATCACTGCCCAAGCGCATTGTTGTCGACAACATGGCTTCCGCGGCAGAAATTAGGCCTGACATCCACGATGCAGACACTGTCAGCAAGAACGAGGCTGGCGACGCCGAAAAGAAGAGCGCTTCTGACGGCGACCACCATCACGCTGAGAATCCTACCGATCATGCGCTTACTGCTGCCGACAAGGAACACTACGAGAAGTACGGCACCTACGACCGCTATGAAATCACCGAGGAAGACTGTTACGACGAGCTTGGCTTTTGCTTTCCAACATGGAAGAAGTGGACCATTCTTAGCATCGTCTTCATGGTCCAGGTCAGCATGAACTTCAACACGTCGTTGTACAGCAACGCTGTGACGGGTATTTCAGAGGAGTTCAGCGTCAGTGCCCAGGCGGCGCGTCTGGGTGCGGCTCTCTTCCTCATCGCCTACGCGTTCGGTTGTGAGCTCTGGGCGCCTTGGAGTGAAGAGCTAGGACGATGGCCTATCCTCCAGCTCAGTCTGTTCTTTGTCAACATATGGCAAATTCCTGTGGGCATCGCGCCCAACTTTGGGACCATTCTTGCGTTTCGTACGCTCGGTGGTCTCTCCACTGCCGGTGGTTCCGTAACTCTTGCTATGGTGGCTGACATGTGGGAACCGTGAGTACACCACACATTCTGTGCGTTATCTTGCTAACAATTTCAGTGACAATCAACAATACGCCGTCGCTTTCATCGTCTTCTCCTCCGTCGGTGGTTCCGTACTAGGCCCCATTGTGGGCGGTTTCGTCGAACAGTTTCTCGCTTGGAGGTGGAATATCTGGATTCAGTTAATATTTGGTGGCGCCGTCCAAATTGCTCACGCCATCTTCGTCCCCGAGACCCGTACAACAGTCCTCATGGACCGCATTGCCAAGAAGCGCCGTACAGAAGGCGAAAAGAGCGGCAAGCCAAACAACATTTGGGGACCCAACGAGCTCAAGACGTTCAAAGAGCGCTTCAGTGTACACGAGATTCTCGTTACCTGGGTGCGTCCGTTCCGCATGTTCGTTACGGAACCCATTGTGCTCGTCCTCTCCCTACTTTCCGGTTTCTCTGATGCCATCATCTTCATGTTCTTGCAGTCTTATGCGCTTGTGTACGCTCAGTGGGACTTTGCACCCTTCGCCATTGGACTGACTTTCGTCGCCATCGGCATTGGCTACTTCATCGCCTGGTTCTCCTTTTTCCCAGCCATCAAGCGTAACGAGCGCCTCCGTCGTGATCATCCCGACGATGAGCGCTCCCAATACGAGGCCCGCCTCTGGTGGTTGCTGTACACTGCTCCATGCCTTCCTATCGGCCTTATCATCTTCGCTTGGACGAGCACTGGCCCGCCAATTCACTGGATGGGATCTCTAGTCGGATCAGCAATCATTGGAATAGCCAACTACGCCATCTACATGGCCACTATTGACTACATGATCTGCGCCTACGGTCCATACTCAGCGTCGGCGACTGGTGGTAACGGCTGGGCTCGTGATTTCCTCGCTGGTGTCCTCACGCTCCCCGCCACACCATTCTTCCAGAACATCGGCGGAGATCTGCATCTCGCATATGCCTCAACCATTCTCTTCGGTATATCTCTCCTTCTAGTAGTCTCGGTCTATGTTATCTACTGGAAGGGCCCTGAACTCAGGAAGCGCAGTCCTTTTGCCCAGCAACTCAGTGCTGCTCGCGACGAGACCGGTGGTCGTCGCGTCAGCAGCCTTCCAGGCATGTACGGTTCTCGCGCAAACTCTTTGGCACAACAAGGAGGCTCGATGCCCACTTCTCGCAGGGGCAGTGTAGTGCGTGGCGTTCCGGGAGGTGAAAACAGATACGAGATGCACCGCAAACAGAGTGCGCGCAGCACTGGAGTTGCTTAAGCACTGTCTTCGTTTCTCACCTATGTGCAGACGATTAGCCTAACAGAATCTTAATGTTCATGAATTAATCGTGTTTTGTGCTAGAGTGAGGGTGACGAAGCACGGCCCAGCGTTTGATTTCCATACCGGTTGTTACATAATCAGATCCGCCCTAGCCTTTTAAGCGTTGTGGTAACACCTTTTGCAACATCTCCGCACGACTTTCTTGCAAGTAAAAAATAATCGCGATCACTATTTCGTGACTTGTTCCTCGATTGTGATAATGAGGCGGCCGATACGACGGCCTGCACACCCTTTCCGCGTGTAGCAATAGGCGCCTGCTGCAAAGACCACAATCCGGCCTAGCACGTCTATGTTGAAGCACAACAAACGTAACGCCATATCGCAAGTATTCTCTTTCGATGTAGAAATTGGCGTTTGGCGAGGAAATCTCGTATTCTCCATCTTGACATCATACGACTGCGTTCGGCACTGTCTTTGGAGTTACTTCCTCTGGGTTCGCGAGTGCGTCTGCAACACCTATGACAGGAAGTCCATCCTCTTCAGCGGTACTCTTCTTTGAAAAGAAGTGCCTAACCTTCTCCTCAATATCAATACCCTTGGCCTGCCATTCGACTCCCTCTTCGAACTCATCGAAAGTTTCTCCGGCTTCTTTTGCGCGCTTACGGATCCCACGAGTTCGGATTAACCAAATCATGTGTGAAGCAACCATGCTCATCTCGATCGCGCAGCTACACGCCATTAGTCTTCTTTCCGAATGGTTGTTCCCTATACTAGCACATACCATAGTGCGTACATCGTGCCAAAGAGCACATCAAACTCGTTCTGGGTTACCAGAGCCATCAGAGAGAAGAATGCGCCGTTCCAGTCGATGGCCAAGAATATGAAATCAATACCCACAACGCGACCTCGTCTTTTGAGCAGCTCAAATGGGATAGGCATATAACCTGCGATAAGGGTGAGGAAAGCGACAATGCCAATCAATAGGACTGGCCATTCTAGACCTCTCGAGTATGGCTCTCGAATAGCATATACAAGCCCAGTTTCTATCCCTGCAAAGCAAATCAGAAGCGACAATAGCAGGAGCGAGGCTGTCCAGGTCCGCCATTTCCTAGTTTCTGTCAGTTTTGCATTTTCGAAAGGCATGACCGTCTTAGTACCGGAACTTACCTGCTATATACAAGACACTGCGCCCAACTCACACCGCACAACACACAGAAGCACTGCGGTTGGACGATGAGGGGGATGTTGAATTGCTGTGTAATGGCATACACACCAAAGGGTACACCGCTGATAGACCATAGAAGCATCATGGACTCAGGTAGTCCCACAGTAGACTTGGTTCTCCAGTTTCTGTATATCTGAGGTACCAATTGGACGCACCAACATATTGTGCCAATGGTGCCAAGCACGTTGGCTGCTGGAGGTATCGAAGTTTGCGGCGCCATAGTGGTAGAAACAGGTTGCGAGGAAAGCAGCGACCTAGTAATGCAATTACCGAGGGTGCGTGTATTGAAGGTATCCCGTAGCTGATATGAGAGGTATAACGTCTTACAACCATCGGTGGCGAACTAGCACGTTGAAATATTGGGCCACTGCTTAGCCCTCAGCCTATCCGATGACAGTGCGAATTCGAAGCGCCTCATCTACCGAATCGCCTATGAGCACATTTTAGCAAAACTCTTCGACCGCCGGCTTGTTCTCCGCTCTATCTGTGAATGATAATTGCATACCTATGACTGGTGGTTTCGGCGTTCGCTTGGTTCCGTGCCATGGGTAGAAGCTAGCACGCTACACGAGTCTGGTAGTAAAATAGCACGCCGTGCATGCCGTGCTGATCACTTTCTCCACTATTCTCTTCGATTGGTAACCCAAATAGTAAACTCTCGGTATGCTACCCGAGTAGCTATTGACGCCCGCGGAACGCTTACTTAGACGAACTCCTGGCTATTTGAACAATGAATGTAGTGATTGACTTGACTCAAGAAGGCCCTTGAGATATCGTATTGCTGTTCTATCAGCGCCTTTATTTCATGAGCTATGTATATGCTTTTCCAGACTGCAGCTCCCAATACGTGTGCAGTGGCTCGTGAAGTTGTCGGCAGATAATCAACAGGGCAAGTCCAACGCACCTAAATTCGTATTGAAGGAACAGATTTGTTAGCTCTAATCGAATCCACAACGTGATGTGAGTAGGCAGGGTAGACACTTCTATCGTTGTACAATCACCTGCTATTACGGTTGCTTCCTGGGTACTTTCATGTTTGTTTTTCTTTTGTAGAAATTCGCCAATACGTGAAATATCATCCTGCATCACTTATAATTACGGATTCACTGTAACAGTAAGCGATGATAGTCCCATCTGGACCAACAAAGAAAAAGTGAAGGAGACGAGTGCATTCAGTTATATATGATTGCGTACGCAGCTTTTCTAAAGGCCTATAATCTATTGCTCTCTACCTTTGTAAGGGGAGCAACCCTCTCTGTCATCGGCATATGGTCAACACTCCAATACAATACACTTGTAATCTTCTTCCTCGTAAATCTTGAGTACTAAAGCGAAGTCGAGCCGAACCTTGCCTAGGAGAATTTTGCCCAACAAGCACAATGGTCTTCTAAGGCAGCTGAGCACTCCCTTCCAAGATAGCCACACCAGCCCGCCTTGCCGACTTCTTATCTCTTCCCGCCAAGTCACAGAGCAAGATGCGCAAACGTATTCTTGCCGCTGCCCCCAAGGAGTCTAATCCGATAATTCTGCACCATACGCCGGGCTTCGCTTCTCTTGCAAGCAATTTGCCTCCAAGTTTAAGTACGAGTGAGCTAAGGACTATAAGTTTTGTCTCCAGTAGCTTCGAGAGGTATAAGCCTTTGGGTGTTAACCACCACGAAGTATTCCCACGCAGTCCGTCTTCTTATCGTTGTTTTGGTAATAAGCCAACGGTCCAAACCGTTTCCCTCGCCATCCAATATTCGGCATTAGTGGAATGAAGAATTTCTACACGATGAGGCCTCCATATCCGGCATGTGATCTCATAGCCATGCGGCAAGACATCTGACACAATCGCCTCGCGTGTTGACTTCCAGACGCAGAAAATGCTTGTTCTCCCCACCGTTCCACCATAGCAACCTGTCATATTGATTCTTCCAGCTCCTTGGACGATCTTCTTCTTGAGATATCGAGAAACGAGGCGGAAGATTTCTAAGGTTGCCAAGCGAGGATACAACTATGAAAAACTTTGTGGCGCATTCGGTGAGCGAACCCAGTCGTCTCGATCGTGACGAGTCATCTTGTATTTCCTATCGGACGTATTAGAGTATAGGCACCAGCACGACACAGCTGGGCACACGCAGGAGGCGGTGCGAAGATGAACATCAGCCCACCTGCTGATACCAAAACAAGAAGTGGATGGATCAGCTGAGAGCGGCCAATAGTGCAGCTAGACATAAACATTTACAGTCGAGAAGATAGTGAATCTAGAACTGTTAATCTTCCGTTCAGTGAAACTTTACGGCTGCCAAAGATTGGTTGTTATATGTCCTGGTATTTCTTTGGTGAAAACTTTGCTGTTGCATACCAACGAATGTAAGCCGAGGTTCGTGATGTAGTATTAAACAAGATATTCTCAAACTATCTCGAACCGTGTTCATAGCGGAGAATACGTGCATGGACCTGATGTTATGTCTTAATGAAGGGAAAGATCATTTCGCCGATTATGTAAGATACATTCAGCGCTAGCAGAGTGCTGCCGATCTTGACATACGTCACCTCTTCCGCACTCTCGGTGCCAGTGACGATCAAAGCACAGAGTACGAGATGGGCTGCTCTGTCGCCCGTCTACATATTGCTTTTCTGGCAGCTGAACCGCAGTCACACTCATTCGTACTAGCAAGTTGTTGATACTTGATTTTGCGACTGCCTTTTTCCACGCAATGACAATAAATGTGACTGATAATTGGCGCGCTCGGCCGGAGGCGCAATGGAGCATGAAAACCACCGAGCTCCGCAACCTTAAACCACGCACAGAGATGGTTTTGGCTGATGTTGAGGAGAAGCAAACCAAAGCCACCACGTCTCAAGTATGGCTCATCCAATCAGCACAGGCGGGCAGGGCGCCCGACTCCTATTGACGACACAAGCAACGTCATCAAGTGCTGCTCGCTGCTCGAAGCATCTCAAGCGATCCAATTCAACTGTGCCATACACATTGTTCATGTTGGCATGTATCCTGTGGCGCAGCCTTTGAATGTCACCAGAATCGCAACGCCTATCAGCGCGTAGCACAAACGTACACGGGCCCCAAGCGACGCCGGATATCTCCATCCTGAACTTTGTGGGGTAGCGTAATTGGCTCCGCGATTTCCCCAGTAGTGCAAGCCACCGACCAGTGCAAGCAGCGAAATTTTCTTGATAGTCCCCAGGGCTCTACCTGACATCTCGCTATGCATTCCACGCCATCCGCACCGAATGCCTCCTAAGAGTCCTCATGGGCGACAAGTTCGCTGCACCTCCAGGTTTTACTGCTTGGGGACCATTTGTCCGCGACAATTATACTCCCATACTTGTGACCCGCACCGATATAGCCTTAGCAGCTGCAGCGTTTGGTTTGGCCAACTTCTTCGCCATAACCGCAGCTTTCATCGGCGTTAGACAGACAAAATCATGTCGGCGCCCAAAGACTAGCGCATATATCTGGATGATCTGGCTGGAGATTGCTGCCTCGGTGGCTATCTCTATCGAGTGTCTGTTGTATTTGTTGAGGATTATAAGGCCTAGCTTTTACTTCTTCATGTCTGTCTGCAAGTATACCACGGCCCGAGCATCTGTACTTGACTGACATCAGCAGTGCTATGCTGGGTCATTCAGATTCAGCTGCTTCCTCAAATTATCATTAATCGTATTCGTATCATCCTCCAAGACCGGGTACGAGGACGACGTCTCATAATAGGCACCGCAATCTATGTGACTTTGATCAATATCAGCGTTTTCATAATCTGGATACCCGCACGACTTCAGATCAGCCCAAGGTGAATTCTATGGTTCAAGTTTCACGATATCCGCTGATAATGGCAGATGGGTTCATATCAACGCTATCTGGGACCGCACCGAAAAAGTGCTGTTTCTTCTCCTCGACGCGTATCTTAATTGGTACTTCATCCGCGTTGTAAATGCGGATCTGGTCAAGAATGGCCTGACCAAGTACAACCGCTTGGTCCGTTTTAACAAGCGTATCATCGTTGTCTCTCTCCTTCTAGACGTTATGATCATTGGTGCGATGAGTATCCCGAACGGATTTGTGTAAGTCTAGCGCATGCCTGAGCCTCTCAGATCCAGTTCCGCTGACCCTTGAAGCTACGCTATGTTTCACCCGCTCGCATACTTAGTCAAGCTCAACATCGAGATGTCTATGGCGCATCTCATCAAAACCATCGCCTTGGGCCATCCGCACCCTAACAATGACCCTTCACTACTATTGACCTTCTCATCTTCACCTGGCGAAGACATGTTCAGCACCAACATCTTTGCAGAAGCGCCGCGGCAGCGACATTCGCTCATACGGGGTCTATTTGGTAGCGAGCACATCGTCTTTTCGCAAGAAGACGTTCGCACCAGGGTTCCTGGACATAGTTCTACACGCAGTGCATCAATACCTGACTACGAACTGCCGCCTTGGAAATCTAAAGTCGACAAGGAACCCGACAACGTCGCTAGCGATAACCTCAGTGCTGGTGAAGGCAGGAAAAGCAGCAATGCCTGTGAAAATTGCTGGCGCTGGGACAGTGGCGTCTCAAGCAACACTAGAAATCTGGAAGGGGTAGATGATATCTCCACGCCAGAGGCCGCCCACCTACCTGCTCATCGTCGTATGTCAGAGCTAGGCTGAATTTCGCTAGCGAGGTACGATGTCGTCGAGATGAAACTACTCAAGGATCTGACGACACTTCTGCGCCTTTTCTCTCCGCCACTAATGGCGGGTTTCCGTGCACCAAACGCCAGTAAACACTCAGGGGTAGCATAGGCTCAGTGTCCTTGACGACCCTACCGGTAATTGCACGAGCTGGCGTCAGGACATGACTCCGAAATCGACTGGCTCATGATGCGAACCTCATTACCCCAACAATGAGCACCTTTGCACGCAATCGCTCGTCATACAAGAGACACCAGGCTTCATATAAGAAAGTCATGTTACACAGCGGTGCTGCATCGGACGAGTTAAGACAGTCGTTGTCCAGGAGCCCGTTCCGCACGAAATTTGGACTCCACAATGATGTCAAAGAACGACGCAAAAGCGTGCTGTGCTTGCATCCAAGCACTCTCACCTGCCATGAGTGTGCAAGCTGCTACCAGAAATCACACCGTTCACTTTCAATCTAGCATGGAAGCTAAATGTGCTATTGCGGAATTACTTGACCAGAGTGCAACGAATTTGGCCCTCATCGTTGTCAAGGT